TGTGGCCGGCCACAGTGATGAGTACGCAATGAGGATCAGCGCAGCATTCTGGGTTATAGGCTTTTGCTACCTGGCCCTCGTGTTTGCAGAGGTAGGTGGACACCTCGGGGAGTAAGGAGGGAGAGCGAGGAAGGAAAGGCGGAATACCCCCTCCCCTTCTAAAACCCCCAACTGATTCCAAAACCTTTTCTTGCATCTTTTGGCACAAGAAGGGATTCTATTCCTCCTCCTCTTCCTCCTCCTCCTCCTCTCTATCTTTTTTTTTTTTTGCAATATGTTGCATGGCAGGGTCGGTCCATCTCTCCCGCCCCCGTCCGGAGTCTACCTTTTACGTGAACCCCCGTGCATGGGCTCGGCTTCCCCTTGGCTCCTCAAGATGGAGAGGAGGGCTCCCTTCCCCAAATTTGCCGAAAGCCCGATGTGGGGCTGTGGAAAGAGAGCCGCTTCTGGCGCTGCAAAACTGCCGTCCAGACCGCCTGGGCTCTTCGTCCTCGTTTTTAATAGACGTGGTACATGCAGGCGAGAGCGGATCGATCCCCTGCCTGGCGTCTGCTCTGGCGCGCGTGCAGACGTGCAAGGAAGGGGTGGAAAACGCGCCTGGCAAGGCGATCCAGCGCTGGCATGGCTTTGCAAACGCGCCCCTCGGTCGGCTGGCGGGGTGCCGGGCTGGAGGGGTGGGGAGGGAAGCCGAGAGCCGAGCAGTGAGCGGGCTTGAATAGCCAGCTTCGTGCTAATGGGAAACTAGCATGAAATGGCTAAAATAGGAGAAGGAAGGAATTGCGGTAGCGCTCTAATGAAATGTAAAATCTCACGCTGCCCTTCTAAGATGCAACCGTGTATTACCTCTCTCCGGTCTATAAATTCACTTTATAAGGTTAAAAACAGGGACTGGGGGGGGGGGAGCAACTGTTTCCCAGCTAGACTTGGCATGTTTTCTTAGAAGTTAGGACTTTCCATTTTGGAATGGGAATGATTTCCCCAGGGACTGTATTCCGACAGCTCGCTTAGCCCAGGTGGGTTTCCACACTAGGGATTAAGAGTTCTACAACATGAGTGGGGCGAGGGACAATGGTTAGTTTTTCTGAAGCGGGGGGGGGGGGACAGGGGTACATGGGTTGAACTCACCTTTTTTAGGGATCAGTGTATTTGAACCTAGAAAATGGATTATTTTAGGAAGCTGGATGGGTGGGATCTCTGAGCATAGTCCTTGAGTTTGTTGGGTAAAATCTCTGCCTTTTGGAGGCTGGGAGGTCCTGAATGTCAAACTGAGTTCCAGTTCACAGGGGCATTTCCCCCCCCCCCCCCCCCTCCTTCCTTCCTTTTTCTCTTTCTTTTGCTTGTGTTGGTGGGGGGGGGGGGGGGGGA